AAAGAAAAATCTGTTCCAAAGTGCCCTCTATGACCGCAGAGTGTCTTCTGTGGAAATGCTCAAAGCGTCTTTCTGTTGGGTGTGTGAAATGACACAGTGCCCCTCATGGCTGTGGTTCGTGAATTTGGAGCAGCGTTTTTTGTTTTTCTCAAAGCAAAATAGCAAATTACATAAAAAGATAATTGTTTCACTGAATTACTTACTACCTAAGTACTGATTTCTGAGGTAACTGAAATACTGAATTCCATTGCAATATTAATATAAAACAAATTATTCTTCTTCTAAAAAACTGTCTTTTTACAATGTGATCACCACATGTGCCCCCACCTTACCCCATCAGCCCATCACTGTCATTCGAGGCCTAGAGGATCCAGATATACTCTGTGTGTCTGTATTCTTGGTGAGCTTTGTAAGGAATCATAGATGCTCCCAGAATCTCTAAGTATAGCTCTGCATTTCCTTCTGGTGAAAGGCCCCTCCCATGTTGAATACAGTTTTCTGAGGTTTATGGACCTCCTGCAGCCCATCTGAGACCCAGTTTCAGAATCTACCTGGCTCATCTCATTCATTACATGGAAGGGGAAAGATGGATGAAGTGATAGACTTTTGTTACTGTTTTGTTGATATTTTTTTGCAAATACAAAGGGTGAATGAGCAGAGTTGGTGAGAGTTGAGCTTATGAAAATCAAGCTTAGTTACATTGTTTACAACACCATGTCTGTTAGGATCCTTATTTACTTTGAGAATTGCTGAGCATAGAATTTACGTAAAGAATGCATTTTATAACCAGTTTATTTTTAATGTTTAAAAATTAACGTAATTCACAGGAAAAGATCTTTAGAATGTTTGGGTTTTGTTTTGTTTTGAGTTAGAGTCTCACTATGTAGCCCTGACTGGCCCTGTGGAACTCCCTATGTAGATCAGCCTGACCTCAAACTCACACAGATCTGCCTGCTTCTGCCTCCTAAGTCCTAAGTGGTGTCATCATGCCCAGTTTTTAGAATGTTTTTATAACCCTAGCTCTAGTTTGGGCTTTGAAAGTTTGTCCCACTGGGACAAAAGAAGCAAGTGAAAGGCCAGCGGAAGGGGCTGGTGGGTGGAGGCTGAATGTGCCTAGGGGACTTCTGGGTTCCCTTTGAGCTGCTCCTGATTTTTCGGTCAGCAGCCCACAATTGTTCTGGATTCCAGCTGGGGCGTCCAGACTGGTCCTCTTCCAGCTGAGAACAATGGACTGTGCTGGTGCTGCTTGGCTGATACCTCTTCCTCTGGCTCCTCTCTTTTCTTTTGGATGGTGTTTAATGATGTTTTGATGCTGTTACCCAGGCTACTCCCACACCCTCAGTTTGCAGCCAGGCTGTCTGGAGCACAGGCTCCTTCTGGTGGTGCCTCCCTACCGCAGAGGGAGCTGGGGCACCTTTCCAGCTTCTGAGAAGGTGGTAAGATTAGAGCACAGACAGGCAAGCAGCTTTCCTCCTGGAGCTTCTCATCTCACCAGAGGCTAAGGCAGCTTATAGGTGCGTGTGTCACCCTGTGTGTGTTGGGGGGGGTCCTATTTTCTCTCATTGTTGCATTCTCTCCTGCTTTCCACAGGTAAAGTTCAGATAGTACTTCTTCTCTCCTCCCTCACTAGTCCCAGCACCCCCTCTTCACATTTAAAAGGATGAAAAGTGTCTACAGAGTGCTGAACAGCACAGGCATAAGCAGGTATTCAGGTGGCCTTTTGCTGGCCACCTCCTGCTCGCTTGTCTTATCTGGAGGTCTCTAGGAGTGACACAAAGGCTAGACTGCTCCACCTTGGGCTCTCTACTGTGGATGGTGGGTCTCAAGAGCTTCGAGGTGGGGAGGGGAGTAATGCTTTATACCTGGTATTTAAGTTTGTTTAAATAAATTTAGAAATTATATTTAGCAAAACTTGTACTGCATGGTGTCTTCGGAAGTATCTGTTTTCCAGAAGTTCCTCTTCCCCTTCCCTGCTCAAGGAGCTGACTTGTTAAATGAGAAATGGGTAATCCTAGTTGTTATGATTATTCTTTTAATTTCACATAAATAGAACAAACAACATTTTAGGTTCCTTTAGATAAGTAGTTTTTAATTATGTTAGTCCTGTGTGTTTATCTGTCACCACTCTCAACATTGACAATTCTGGTTACCTTTCTCATGGTTGGAAATCAGGATATATAATGTTAGCATATACAGCTCAGTAAGATGTTATTTTTGCAGTTAACTGTATACTTGGGAATTTATTGCTAGTACCTGTGGTGACTAATAAGCTGTAAGACTCACACTGTGAAATTATCTCAGTCTTAGAGCACTGCTGTTCAGTGAAAGCATGTCAACCACAAGGGTAACTTAAATTTTCTGTGAGCTACTTTAAAAAAAGAATAAGTGAAATTAATTTTATTTTATATTTTTGGAATGTACTTTAACATGTAATTTGTTTAAAAATCATTAGTGATGGGCTGGAGAGATGGCTCAGCAGTTAAGAGCACTGACTGCTCTTGCAGAGGACCCAAGTTCGATTCCCAGCACCCACATGGCGGCTATGAACTGTCCTTAACCCCAGTTCCAGGGGAATCGGAAGCCTTCTTCTGACCTCCGCGGTACCGCACAACACAGGTGCCCTCACTCACATGCAGGCAGTACACTCGCACACATAAAAAAAATTTAATAAATCATTAATGAGATGCTTTCCCACCATTTTTCCGTACTCTGCCTTTGAACTTTAGATGTTTCATAGCTAGATACTTCATTCTGAACTAGCTACATTTTGAGTACCTGGTAGTCACATGTGGCCTCTTGTCTTTGATATTGGACACGGAGTTCTGAGTGATCCAGTGCCATCAACCGATACCCTTCAACTGTCAATTGGTGTTCCTGCTGTTGGCTTCTGATTAGGACTTACCCAGGCTGTGCGTGCAGTAGCCAATGTGCCATGTACTGATGATCAGCATCAAAGAACAGCCCCTTCTGGTGCTACGAAAGCTAGCCAACAGGAAGAAGTTTCCCTGTCAGTTTGATGCTGACTTCTCTTTGTCTTGCAGATATAGTGTGTTAGGCATCTTTAGCAGGAGGGTCTTACCATCTAGTTATGTAGGGAACCAAGGGCAATGGCAGTAAGCTGTGTTGTTTAGGGATACTTCTGGGACCTCTCTGACCAGTAACCTCACAGGAAGGTGCCCCATGCCTGGCACTGTGATTTGTTTAATAACCCATGTCTTCTGGGAGCAGCATTGTTTACCCACACAGAGTACCTTCGCTTGAACTCCATTATTGTCATCATCATTATCTTATTATTATTATTATTATATTTTGAAATTAGCTTAACTAGTGAGCTTCCATAAAACTTTTTCATATATCCTTAGTTTTAATCAATCCAACCCCTTACCTCCCCATCCCTTTACCGCCATCCCTACTTAACCCTTTAGCCTCCCTCTATTTCATACCACATATGTGCTACTAATCCCTCCAGTTCTGTTTTTAATTGGGTTGCAGGATAATAGGTTTCTATATGGCTTTCTTAAACAAATTTCCTTTAGGTTAGTCCTCCCCATTTTGTTTTTGCACATTCTTTCCCCTCAGGCTGAAGTCCTTCCTCTCCCAGCACCCCACACTCTGCTGTACCTCCAGTCTCTCTGGCACTGCCAGCTACCCCAGTTGTGTTTCTGTGGCTGCTAAGTGTTGACAGTGCCTAGTGACCTCAAAGTTGAGAGCCCAGGGCTGGTAAGAGACTTGTAGGGTACTACACAGGGAGAGCACGTAGGTAGACACAGGAGGAGGCTGGCGTGGCATACTGGAAAACCTTCACCATGAGGTCAGGAGCTTCAGGAGGAAAAGTGCTTTATCTTACCTTGTAAGAGCTCTTTGTTCCCAGATGATTAAAGTATGTTACAGAGTGTAGGCAAATGTCATAATCAGACCTATTACCTTGCTCAATTAATATATGCTAATAAAAGCATGGCTTTTATGCTGTCAAAACAATGACATGCTGCATTCCTAACTACCCCCTCCCTGACCCTCCCCCATTCCAGGGGAGAAAAGGAGCCAGGCCTCAGCAGTTAAATCTGTAAACTGAAATTGTTAACTAATGGGGGAAAACATGATAGTTTCCAAGTAATGATTACGTCTTTACTTGGATATAATCTTTAAAAAGAAGCTATTTAAATCAACTTACTGAAATTACTTTCTGTGATGCTTTCTTGTATTTTTTACTTGTATGACCTACTATCTCATGGCTATTAAAACATATTTATTGTTTGTTGTGACAAAAGTATATACCCTTGTGTGTGGAGTACTGTCAGAATACTCGAGTAAGGTTCATATGTATGCATGCTTTGTTTTATAAGCCAATATGTTATCCAAAATGTTGATTTTTTTATTATAGTTGTGATAAACTAGAATATTGATGATTCTGTAATTATACACAACATCTAAGCTTTCTGTCACTTTTTCCTAAGAGCTCTCAGTGCACTAGGCTTTACACTCGTTATGGCGTATGAATTGCACTGCAGTGTTCTCTGCAGAGCTTTTCTTCCCACGCCCCCTTATTCTTTGCCAGAAGAAGTTCTTCTCTTGTTCTGAATTTTAAACCACGTTTGAGAAGAGTGAGGGTGTGAAGGTCAGTGCTGGAGTATAAGAGCATCACACCACACTTTTGGTCCTAAACAGGTTAACAGTATTTACCCTTCAAGGAGTTTCTTTTCACTTTACTTTATGGGTGTTCAGATTATTACAAACTGTCCATGAATTGACTGATTCTTTTTTTAGGAGTATTTTTCTTCTAAAGTTGGACTCACAACTAACTAATCTCTTCAGTTTTACCAAAAAGAGAGTTGATTCTGTTAATAGAGCTTTCATAGTTGTAGTTTTCTTGTAAGATGAGATTGGGGGGTGGGGGGCTGTCATAGTCCCTAACCTGTGTGTGGACTTGCCCTACTTTCCTGAGCAGATCTTTTCCTACTGTGTTTCTTCATTGTGTTGTTCTGGCCTTGTTTTTTGCATAGGGTGCTGGTCAGGATAAACTGGGAATCTACGTCAAGTCTGTTGTGAAAGGAGGCGCTGCAGATGTGGTCAGTATTGTTTTCAGAGAAGCAATTGAAGTGCATTGCATAATTAATTAGTGATATGAAATGTTGCCTGAATTCTCCCAGCTGTGAACACTGTGTGGTATGTGTTTGAAGGGTTAGATGGACTGACACCACCTTTCTTTCTCTCCTTCTACTTTCTATACCTTTTGGGTGGGCTCAGGATGGACGACTAGCGGCTGGTGACCAGCTTCTCAGTGTGGATGGACGAAGTCTGGTTGGACTTTCTCAGGAGAGGTATGATTGATTGGTTTAAAACTTAACCTTAGTATATTTAAACGGTATTTTGCATTTAATTTTGAAAGTGGGACACAAAGAATAATTCAGAGATAGCTGTCCTTATCATTCGTTATCTCTTTAAATTCTAAAAGTCTTAAGAGTATGTGAGTCTCATTTGTTACTGAATTATATATATTTTAGTCTAGAATATTTATTTTAAATGAAAATGTTTATCATACACACAGGTGCATATCCACACTCTTAGCACTTCCTGAAATTCTTAAATGTCTCAGTATTAATATAATAGGATATATTTGCATGTTTTTATAGGTAATTTTCAAAGGAGGATATGGATATAAGGTCATCTTTCTGGAAAAAAGCTATTGTCCAAAAGAGCAAGCATGGCTTTGCATTGTGCATGGCTGGGCATCTTGCACTGGTGCTCTGAGTGGCAGCTGCCCTACAGCAGCAAGCTCTCAACTGTTCTTATGCTTCTCATTTTCTTCCTAGGGCAGCAGAACTCATGACAAGAACCAGTTCTGTGGTTACACTTGAAGTTGCAAAGCAAGGTGCCATCTATCACGGCCTGGCCACCCTCCTGAACCAGCCATCCCCCATGATGCAGAGAAGTAAGGACTAGTGACTCACTCATGCCAGGGGTCGCTGGCCTTTCCTTACCCCACACCGTGACTCTGTTTTACAGTTGCGACCCCTCTTCTGAGTCATTGAAAACCCTCTAGTAGTTCCTGTATCGTCACTGACCCATTCTTACAGTTTGAAAGAAAGAATGTGTGCTGCAGAGACTACTGGGTGCAAAACAGGCATCAGCCAACCTGAAGTCCACACTTTAATTCATGCAGGTTCCCCTGAGTCCCCAACAAGCCTTGACCCTCATCCCATTGGACTGGTTGTCTGCTCTTAAGCTCCACAAATTTGTCCACAGGAGGCACTTAAGTCACTAGTGAAAATGAGTGCACTTTGGATTTTGGTAGACAAAATCTCAGGGCAGGAACTAGAGAGATGGCTCAGCGGTTAAGAGCATCTGCTTCTCTCACAGAGGACTTGGGTTCGATTCCCAGCACCCCCATGGTGGCTAACAACTATCTGTAACTCCAGTTCCAGGGGACCTGATACCTTTGTCTGTCCTCTGTGGGCATTGCACGGCATAGGTGCACTTCCATGCATGCAGGCAAAACACTTAGACATATAAAATAATAAAGTAGGTTTGTTTGTTTTTTTTAAAGTCTCAGGGGAAAAAAAACAATATAAATTTAGGGCTTTCTGAAAAATTAGTTCAGAAACTACATGCAGAACAACCACTACGACTCCTTAAGTATCACTGGCCCTCCTGAACTGCACATCCCAGAACCTGACCTCTGTAGCTAATAATAATAATAATAATAATAATAATAATAATAATAATAATAATAATATAATAAGCAGCAACAAAAATCTTTAAAAATACAGTAGTGTTAGGAAACCAAGAACATAGGTCTGTGATGACTAAACGCAGGAATGACCAGAAACATTCCATGGAGAGAAGTAGAAATTAAGACTTTTTCATTTCTTGTCCTTTTCCTCCTTTTTAATGCCATTAGCCTTAAAG